AACTCATTTCTCTTTATACCTTAATATTATTGTATTGTATGCATACACTATATTTTGTTTATCTGTTCATCAGTTGATGGGCACTTGGGTTGTTTCTACCTTTAGGCTATTGTAAATAATGCTACAATGAACTTTGGTGTACAAATATCTGTTTGGGTTCTGCTCAGAAGTCTTTTAGTTATACACCCAGGAGTGGAATTGTGGGGTCATGTGGTAATTCTAAGGAGCCTACAGTGGTTAAGTTCTGAGCTGCTAACTGAAACAAAGGGAGTTCAAACCCAACATTAACTCTGCGGAAGAAAATGTCTGGTAATCTGCTCCTGTAAAGATTATAGCTTTGGAAACTCTATGAGGCAGTTCTACTCTGTCCTATAGGGTCGCTATAAGTCAGAATTGACTTGATGGCTACGAGTTTTAAATGGGTGGTAATTCTATGTTTAACTCTTTTGAGGAATCACCGAACTGCTTTCCACAATAGCTGTACCATTTTTCACTTCAACCAGCAATTCATGGGGGTTCCAATTTCTCCACATCCTCTCCAATACTTGTTATTTTTCATTTTTCTGATAGTAGTCTTCCTAGCTAGTAGGTTGGAAGTGGTCTCTCATTGTTATATGTACCCTTATTACAATCTTGTGCTTTTCTCTCTAAATGGCATTACTTCACCAAGGATGATGTGGGCCTTCAACAGCCATTCTGGAGAAGATTTGACTTGAATAAAATCTATTTGAGAAGCATCTTATAAAAGAAAAGTAATACTATTTCTCATACCCAATGGGAAGGTTTGTGTTTATTATCATTATTATTATGGTATACAGAGGCCTCCAAACAAAATTCTGATTAAAAAATTGCTTCACTAAAAGTCTCTTTGGCCAAAGCTAATGAGCAATTTGACAAACATAAGCAGTAACAAACTAGACTAATTACCCTACTGAATTCTCCCCTCCCCATGTCCTCCAGTTGCCTTCCTATATCCAGCTCTCTCTGCCTTTTTCCTTCTATCTCCCTCTTTCTATATGCTTATCCTTCCTCATCTCCCCTTCATTTAGACCCCTTATCTTTTCCTGATGACTCCCCTAAAACATCAGCTGCCTCTAAAGATCCGTCTCACCCATGAACCAGGTCTGTAAGCAATTGCATAATTTAAACCTTGGGCCAAGCTGAATTAAAAACTATAATTAAGAATTTCCCTAAACTCAGAAAATACCAGCAACTATTCATACAAAAAGAAGCTCTAGTGGTACTGTGGTTAAGACATTGGGCTGCTAACCAAAACTTTGGCAGTTCAAACTCACTAGCCACTCCATGGGAGAAAGATGAGGCAGTCTGCTTCTGTAAAGATTTAAAGCCATGGAAACCCTATGGGGGTTGCTATGAGTCAGAATCAACTCCATGGCGGTGAGTTAGACACACAAGAAATAAGAGTTCTTTTGGGTGCATAGGACTTGGGATCACTTGATGTACATCAACTTTTGCACATTTTGGTTGGAATTTCAGATGCTAAATTCTGGTGGCAAAAGTTGATTGGACTGATCTGGAAAGGGAGTTACATTTCCACAATAAAACCTAAGGGCCATAATAAAAGGCCTGAAAGTGGGCAAAGTCTCCTAAAAGCCCTACTCAAGAAAGACATTTCTAGTAAAATTTGATTGGACCATAATTCAATTATGCAAGGGAGAGTAGATGAAACTATAAAAGGTTTTCGGGAAAGACTAGAAAATCTCTCTAAATCTTTGGATGCTGCTGTAACAAACAGCATACCTTTCATCTCATTTTATTAGTGGAGGTAAACTCTAAATTGAAGATTTAATTTGAAAACAGAAATCAGCATAGGAAATAGCTGCTTTATCTGAACTATAACACCTGAGAGGATGTTTCAAAAGGTCTTTAGGACAAAATAAAAACCAAAAAAAACCTCACTGCCATTGAGTGGATTCTGACTCACAGTAACTCCCTTTGGGTTTCTGAGGTGGTAAACTTTATGGTAGTAGATCGCCCAGTCTTCCTTCAGAGGAGTAGCTGGTGGGTTTGAACCGCCACCTTTTTGGCTAGCAGTCAAATGCCTTAGGCACTATGGCACCAGAGTTCCTTATAACAAAACAAAACTGGTCCCCAAATCAATTTATAGCCAGCACATCAAACAGCGAGGTGGCCCACTTCCCAACTGACCACCCGTTGACATTTGTAGATATTGTACACAGAAGGGACACTGAAGAAAGGTTATCCCATCTTACAAAAGGAAAACCAAAACAACAAAAATTATTTCAATTCAGATCACTAAGGTGTTCTAAGGAAGGATAATA